ATATACAAAATGGGCAATGTGTTTGTTGAAAACAAATGTATGCGTAAATATTCAGACCTACACATAAGCGTGCAAAGAAGTATCTACTGTTGATGGACGAATTCCTGCACCACCTAAGAAAATCTGGAAGGATGATTGATTCCCCTGCAAATGCCAACCAACAATGGTTTTCCATAGTTTGAAAGTGGTGCATAATTTTGTCCGTCCACATCATGTTGGCTCACGTGTTCCTTTCCGAGAGGAAGCAACCGTATCCAAGAGAGAGCCTGTGTTGCCACGGCCACAGCATCATCCAATTGTCCAAACCTTCTAGCGTGAGCGGATATCCGGGAGGCTCTTGGACCCCAACTGTCGCATGCAATGTACAAATGCCTGGGGGCCCATGAGAAGCCCACCAGGCAACGGCTCTTTCAAGCCGGAGGGCTCTTTGAAGCCGTGCAGAAAGCTGCGGAACAGGGGTGTGCCGTCTATTTCAAGAGGCGACATGCTTCAAGTCACGCATTTTCACAGACTGGGGGAACGGGCCGCGCTGCAGATATACAGCTGCGCCCCTCTTCTGGGACATCTCCTCCTCACAGTCATCCGAGGGCGTGACTGCAGCATGCGATGAGAGTTCTGTTTTCTGCTTGTTTCAAGATGGCCACCCTGCCGCAGGAGACTTCCTGAGACTCAAACTTGGACAATGCAGGGCAGGCCCCCGGCATCAAATGCGAAAATGCGACAGCTGCCGGTGTTGGAAACCCACCTAGGCCATGAATTGTGTGAATTTCCCACAGTCACCCGGCTTGCCAGGTCTCTGGTTGCATTGTCAACGCAAGGGGGGTGCTTGGGCTTCCAAGTGTCTGGGACCTCCGGGCCTCGTAGCTCCCCAAAGGCCGTTGGTGCTAGCTGCGCCCCGCAGCTGCTCAGCTGTTCTGACTTGGGGTGCCCGGCTTTTGTCTTGCACGCCATGGCCTCGCAGCCGCTCTTGCAGCAACCAGACGTGGATTTGGAGGCTGGGGCTGGGGAAGGGCCTGTGATCCCCGAATGGGTTGGATATCGGGTGAGGTAAACGTACTAGGCCAACCTTTGGCCACTCGGTTTACAAACCTGCTTCGCCCACATCTTATGGGTTGGATATATGAAGTCAGGTTCCCGCAAAGCTTAACTTCTATTGGTTCTTGATATGCTTGACCAGCAGGTCTTGTTTGCCAGGCCGGACAAGCCGGCCAAGCCGCACAAGCCGCACAAGCCGCAGAGGCTGACGACGAGCCTCCAGCGCGCATTGCTGCGAAGAGCTGAGTCTGGTGGGTTGGCAGCCCTGTTCTGTGCCACAGCTTTTTCAAATGGGGTCCGCAATGTGGGAGAAATGGTTGTGCTTTATTCAGACTTCTCCCCCTTGGCTCCTGCCAGCGTTCGGGTGCGTGATGATGTGATCATTTGGGGCAACCAGGGTACTGACCCAAACCCCTTTGCCACTAACAGAATTGAGGCCTACACTGGCACGTTTCTGGGCATTCCCTACGCTCGCTGCGGCCTCAGCTATCTAGGGGCCGTATGTTCCCAAAGAAGATGCATTTAGCAGTTGGCCAACCAACCATCCTTCTAAGTGTGGTTATTTCTTTGGTTTCCTCTTTTTTAACCGCCTTTGTATCTTGGCACCCTCAAAAAATGACCATCATGTGGCTTAAAGTCACCGGGGGTTATTCAACCGCCTCGCCAGTGGAGAAGGTCTCGTTTGCAGCTGGATCCTTGGTGGAGGGAATCTGCAGAGGGCCCATTAGCTGCGTTCAACGCCGATGGCGCCAGGAATCATCAACTTTGTCAAGGAACTGGACCTGTCGTACAGGCGAGGCGTTGCAGATATTGACAGGTGCTCAGAGTTTAATCTTGCAAGCCTTCGACCGGTGACCAAACCTTCAGAAAACTCGTTGGCTTTCATGTTGCTCCTTTTCCCTGGAGCCATGCTTCTTCGCCCTTCCAGAAGTTTCGGAGAACCACGGTTTCACTTGCGGCCGAAGGGGCCACGCATGTTTTACCGGGGAGGCCCGGCTATGGCCGCAGCTTGCGGAGCCGCCCAAGCCTCAGGTTTGAAGAGCATGCTTCAGCCGCAGCCCTTTCCTTTGTTCACTTTCCCAACTTTGAGTTCACTGAAACTTCATGAGGGGACGAGGGGCGGAGCTTGGTCCATGTATTTTGTTTTTCTTTTTTGTTATTTCTTATTTTTCTCCGGGCTTCATGTCTGCCGGGTTGTGTGTGTGTGTGTGGTTTGTGTGTGTGTGTGGTGTGTGTGTGTGTGTGTTTTGTATGTTTGGGTGTGGCAGGCCGCATGTTGCGAGCGCTGCCCACAGGCCCCAAACAAAAGTGCAGGACATTAAAATCCACCGCAAGCTTGGGGAAGTTTTGACAGTTCAGCTGATACCCTATAAAGCACGACTATTCAGTGGCGAGTTTATAAACCCGGCTGGTTCTCCAACAACCTCCCTCTTCACGGGGCAGGGTACAGAGTAAGTGAGTAATAACCCTGGTTACATCCCACTTACCATGCTTGTAAGTCTCCTAATCCTTTCTCCGTAATGCTAAAGGTCCCCCTAATACTAAAAGTGACTCTTGAGAATCCCAAATCCGGGAAATAGCCAATACTAAACCAAGTCCTTTTTGCACCTTCAATCCTTTCGCAACATGCTTCTGGAAACCCGGCTGTCTCCTTCTCTCTCTCTCCTTCTCTCTCCACGCGAAGAATAAACACTCAACTTTTTCTTCCAGGGTTTTCCGAAAACGAACCGGGGACCCCCTAATGCTAAAACCGATTTTGCCCGGTGACCCACTTAGCATTGGGGGGGGGGGACGTTTAGAATTAGGGCGAACGGATTAAGTGGATTATAGCCAGGCACTATCCACTTAGGTACCCGATCGCCCCTTTAAGCTGACATCTCTGCAAATTCACGTGGAGCTCTCAAAGGGGCTTCCCCAAGGGTCTCTGCGACTTCCTAGGCCGCGGGCTCCGTCTCTGGCTGCTTCCTGCTGTGGCAATGGCACACGTGGTGGCAGAGGCCGGGAAACGGCTCAAGGTCACCTGCAGGTCAGGGTCCGTGTTTTGTAGGGTACCTCTTTTTTTTTGGGGGGGGGGGTTGGTTCAAAGGGAGGGGACCAAAAGGGGTTTCCCTTTGACACACAATCAGAAAAGGCTTACTGAAGCAAAAAAAGAGAGAAGCTGTCCAAGGACAGCATTTGTTCATTGGCAGTCATTGCGGTCTCTAAGTTGAGCAGCAGTCGTTTCATTGAAACCAAGTTTTCATGCTGATAGGTTAGGTTAGCCCGGATGGAAATCGATGGCACTGGTTTCGATGGGTTTTACTCGACAAAGGCAAACCTCACACCTGACTGCGACAAGCGAGTGGTTGAACTCGCGGCCGTTTTGAGGGCTGCTCGCGGGGCTTTACCATGGACGTGGCGCGGAGCTTGGAGAGCCAAGACGTGGCGCTTTCGGTTGATGGCCATGTTGGCCAGATAGCCCGGCTGAAAAAGAGAGAGAGATAGAGAGAGGGAGAGAGAGAGAGAGAGAGAGAGAGAGAGAGGGAGAGAGAGAGAGAGATGTAGAGAGGGAGAGAGACGTAGGGAGGGAGAGAAGCATAAGGAGGGAGAGAGAAGAGAGAGGGAGAGAAAGAGAGAGAGAGAGAGAGAGAGCGAGAAAGAGGGGGCCTCGTCATCAGCAGTTTGAAAGAGCGGAATGATTCCCTTGTGAAATCTGGATGTTTCAGGGTTGGTGTCCTAAATGTGATGTGCAGGGTGCCTAATGAGGAGGACCACGACCATACCCCAGAAAGAACTTTGGGCAGGAGGCTGACTTTGGTAGTGAACCTAGGGATTCGCTGAAAAGGAAGCCACAGGGGATTGTTTATAGGGTCATTCGCTCATTCCTTGCCAGTTTGTGAGAATGGCATGTCTCAACATAGGGAGCATGAAAGGAAGCAACAAAGGAAACATGCTGTTTTTGGTGGTGTTTGCTTGAACCGTCCTTTTGGCTGATAGGCTCATGAGAACTTCTACTTTCTCAGCCTGTTCCTGGCCGCATCGGCCTCAGCGACGTCTGATTCAGACTGCGATGGGCGGTCTGCCAGGCTTGGTGCTAAATAGCCTGTCATTGTTCAATCCCCCCAAGGGAAGCCAACAGCTCCCCAAAAAAAGCCAGCAGGATATTATTTCTCTTGTTGAACATTTCGAGGCCCCTTCCCGCTCTAGTCACAGCAGACGTCCAGAAGCATCGTCACCCTTCCACAAATTGCGTGGCCTGAAAGCACCATACCGTTCCTGAAAGCACAGTTGACTTTCCAAGGGCTTTCCTTGTATTTGTCTTTGACTTTCGGGTACCCCCCCCCCTCCCCCCAAAAAGAAAACAGAAAGGGACCCTGTGAGCGTTGGGTTTTTGCACACACCTAATTTTGCTGCATTCTGGCCAAAACAGAGGAAAAAAAAGGATTCTGGGACAATGTGCTGGTATCATGCAAACAGTTCTCCACCTTACCCCCCCCCCCTTGCAGATGTCAGGAACATCGAGAAATCGAAAGATTCTGGGACAATGTGCTGGTATCATGCAAACAGTTCTCCACCTTACCCCCCTTGCAGATGTCAGGCTCCTGTCCCAAAACCGAAAAAACATCGAGAATTCGAAAGATTTTGTCCAAAACCAAAAAAAACCTCGAGAAATCGGAAAAAACCAAAGATTCTGGGACAATGTGCTGGTATCATGTAAGCATTCTGTTGGCCAGATTGTTTTTTTTGCTTTTGTTTTTCGATTTCTCGAGGTTTCTTTCGGTGTTGGACAAAAAATCTTCGATTTCTCGATGTTTTTTTGATTTTGGATGGTTTCTTTCGAATTCTCAATGTTTTTTTTGATTTTGGACACCTTCTTTTGATTTCTCGATGTTTCTAAGGCTGCCTGCAGCAAAAGCTTCAACACAGGACAGCTTTGCAAGGAAGAGCTTAGAAGGTTTTCAAACACCAAACAACAAGAAAACCAA